AAAGAACGAACTTTTTGGTGCGCAGTTTATTATAACACTAATAATAATTATTGTAATAATTATTATTGTAATAATTATTTTACAATAATTATTGTAATTTAATCATAAAATATGTAAAAATTGAAAGAAGCAGGGTTGAAAATATTATCGAATTTTTAGAAAATTATTAAATTTGTTAAAAATAGTATAACAGGTGAACAAAATAAATTATTTTTTATTATTAAAAAACCAAATACATGCTTTTAATTTTGTTTTATTTAGGTCTATATCTACATAGTTTGGTTTCGAAGAACTTGAAATTATAGTCTTAAATGTTTCACACATTTTGTTGTAAATCGATGTTATAACAACCTGTTCGTTTTGAAAATATGCATTTAGTTCAGTGCTGCCAACCAGTCGAAATTAAAAGCCGCGCGCATGATCGAAAATTGCCGTGTTTTTACGAACTATGCCCGTGTCAAATTGGAAATTCATTCATTGGAATAAACAAAAATTAACTGCATAAAACATATATTTTTATTTATGAAAAAAGTCCTTATTTCACGCACTTAATTTACAATTGTAATAAAATAATATAAAATCCCCGTGGCTTTGACCAGTGTTGCCAATGGTCTAAGCAGAAAAAATTAGGCTCAGTCAGGTCTTGGTCTCAACTTCAGTAAAACTAAATAGTGTTTTTATTTAAAAATTAAATATTTTTAGACAGAAATGGTGAAATATGAATTTAATATTTTAACGAAAAAGCCGTGTTTTTAAATGCAAGGCAGTACCATGAAGCCGTGGCCATACATTTAGTGAAAACACGGCAATTGCCGTGTCATTGGCAACACTGATTAAATTCTACAAATTTGGGCAAAATCCATAGAAGAAAATAATAAAAAAGTTTAGTTTCAGGATCACCAAGTCACATAGTCTTTGCTGTGTTTTTTAATTACTTTGATATGCTTGATATTCATGCTATACATTTGGGTTTAAAAGGATTATTTAAAAATAAAAATATAGCTACTTCAAACTTTTTTTTACTTAATTTACCTTTAACATGTAGGGGAGCGCGAGGGTTTGGACAATATTTAAATAAATAATTATGGCGTGGACGTGTATACGAAATAACTAAAATTTTGTAGTCAGACTGGTTGATACATGTCTCTTAAATACACTTTTCTTTTGTTTTTTTGAAAAAAACTGACATAAGTATGAAATAAATACTTATATTTTTTTAATGTAATATGACCAATACCTTCTCAACGATGGGGAGGGTTTGGACAAACAATCATTAAGCAAATATATTATGCAAAACATTTGTTTGACAAAAAACACTTTAAAAACAAATAAAATATTTAGTAAAAAATTGTTTATTGATCTATAACTTTAGCATTAACGTAAGCTGTACTCAACATCAACATTGAAATATATATCATGTCCATATCTGGCACTTCGGTCTGTTAAAGGATTTTTTTGGTATGCTGTGGTTGGAAGCCCCTTGTTTTTTTTAAATTTCACGTTAGTTCGATTAATAAAACTTAAAATTTATTAAATTATGATTATATATTTTCAAAGTAACAATACACTATAACCTTTAAAGCTTTCCTTATACTGGTAATCAATCAAACAACCAAAAAATTTCAAAATAGTTTGTTAAAAATTATCGATTTTTTTTTCAAAAACTATAGTTAACATGTATGTTAAAATTGTAGGTAATGCTTAATTATAATAATATACGAGGTGTGTTCAGAAAATAACGGGAATTTTTAAATTTCGCGGGTTCGGAGAGTCCGGTTGTCATAAAATTGTCTTTATTATGTTGGTATACATACCCCTGAAGAATGATAAAAAATTTAAATGTTTTCATTGTTTAATTTGTCTGTGGCAGCCGCTAAGGTTAGACGTGTTTTTATGAGCTCGGCGATTTTCGTTCGTTAAAAGAAATGAATCAAAGAATTTGTATCAAATTTGCGTAGAAAATGAAATAAAGTTTGTGAAATGTTAAGAAAGGCCTATGGAGTCTGCTATGAGTAAACCAAGAGTTTATAAGTGATATATGAGTTTCCAAGATGGCCGTAAAGGTGTTGAAGATGACGAACGCCCCGGACGTCCGGGGCGTTCGTCATCTTCAACGTCTTTACAACCATCTTGGAAACTCATATATCACTTATAAACTCTTGGTTTACTCATAGCTGACTCCACGGACGCCCAAGCACATTAACAACCGATAAAAACAACAAAAAGTGGAAGAAATGGTTATGAACGATCACCGAATCACAATCAGAAAAGACGCTGATGATGTTCCCAAACAGCACACAAGTCTTAAAGACATCTTACTTACGTCGTTTCTATGCCTAAACGCCTGAAGATCAAAAACGGCGTTTTAAAGACATCTTTTTGAAGACGTCTTAAAGTTAACAAACAAGGACGTCGTAAAGACGTCTTTTAAATGCCTTTTATCGAATCTCAAATAAGTAAAAATTGCGCCACAACGTGCATAACAGGAATAAAAATTAAGATTAAGAAGATAATCGTTGGACAACTCGAGTTAATCTTAATTTTTATTCCTGTTGTGCAGTGTTGCCAACCCTTTTGCAACAAATTTCCCTCGAAAATGTTCAAAAATTCCCTTTTTTCCCACGCTTTTTGAAATATGCTGTTAGCCGTTTTTTAAAATATAAGAGATAATATTTTGCAAAAAAATAGCATTTTAAAAATTTAGCAACAGTATTTATTAGTAAATGTATAAAAAACAACGTGCATAAATACAAAAATATATGTAAAATAAAATTATAAAACAATTTGCCATATTGATAAAAAAGGATATATCCTTATGCTTATATTTGTAAAATATAAAGGAAATCCTTTAGCTTGTATTAATGATTATATGTACCTATATAAAAGCTGAAGGATTTCGTTCATATTTTGCAAGTATAAGCATATACTTTCTTTTATAAATACGGCCTATTGTTTTGATCTTTAAAAGAATACATATTTTTATTATGAAAATCCAAATAAAATTTTGTTACATTAAAAGTTATATATATATTTTTTTATAAAATACGAAAAAAAGTCATAAAATATAAAAAAATCCGAATTATTTGATTAGAAAAGGTAGGAAAGGGTTAATTATAAATTTTCATTTTGAATTGATATAAATTTCGCTCATGGACGGCCTTTTTTAAAAATATTTCCCTTTTTCCCATTTGTCTCAATTTGAGGTAAAATTTCCCTCAACATGCACTTCACTGCTGTTGTGCACGTTGTGGCGCAATTTTTAATTATACCACGTCAGTAACACCAACATAGATATTAAAAGTTACTGACAATCTTTCGTAATTTTGAAAATATTGGTAAAACAATAATTGTTACTAAGATTATGACAATAAACATTTTTTTAATACGATAATTAGGGGATTTCTTAAATTCGATAGGGAATTTTAGCTCACTGTTCTGGCAACCAAAACCGGTTTTATTATCTATGTTGGCAACCCTGCTCGAATGTTCTAGAAAGCTTTGTTCTGTGGCTTTGACCAAAGAACTTCTTTGGCTGGCGCAGTGCGTTAAAGTTACAGAGCGGTAATCAATCTGCGCTACGGTACCGGGTTCGATTCCCGGTCACAGCCTTGGGTGTTGTGGTTGTTTTTAAGAACCAAAAAATTTATAATAATGAGCTGGCTAAATAATCGGAAAGATCAAAAGTCAATAAAACCATAAAAAAAAACTTCTTTGGCTTTGACAACAAGATACATACTGCTTTGACAACGATGAAGATGCTTTTGTGCTCTGTGTTTGTGTTTGTGTTTATAAAGGTTTATTGTGTATTCTGTGGTTTATTGTACAATTTATTTGTGAGTACGGTGATTGATAAAAGACTATCCTGATACAACCGATGCCGGTGGCTGACGAGATCAGGACTTGGCAAGTGCGCCAAGGAAGCAGAAATAGCAATTCAAACCTGGATTAGAAGAGCATGTCACAGGAGGAGCAATATTGCTAAAAAAAATTAATAATCTTAATAAAACCAATAATATCTAACAATTTTTTTAATAAATTTCTTTGAGTAAAACTAATAGTTTTTTTAGGTTTACTTAAGTTAAGGGGGTTTAGCGGGTAGAGTGTTTTTTGGCTGGAGTGGAAAAAATCACCTTTAACTTTTGAAGATGTCTTAAATACGTCTTGAAGATGTCTTAAAGACGTCTAAAAAGGCATTCTGAAGATGTCTTATAACATAAGATGTCTTAAAGACGTCTTAAAGATGTCGCAAGGCGTAAATACGACGTCTTAAAGATGTCTTGAATGTCTGAACACGACATCGTTTCGACGTCTTTAAGATGTCTTTGTGCTGTCTGGGTTGGCATATCGATGAAATTTTTTCGAATGTTTTGGGTATGAAACGCGTGGCAGCAAAATTTGTTCAAAAATTGTTGAATTTTAAAAACAATTTTTTGCCAAAAACAATGATGCCCCAGCCTACATATTCGCCAGACATGGCTCCGTCTGACTTTTTCCTATTCCCCAAAATAAAGAGAACCTTAAAGGGCCGTCGTTTTGCAAGCATAAATGACATTAAAAGCACATCGCTGAAAGAACTAAAGACTATCCCAAAGATCGTGTTTGAGAAGAGTTTAGAGGAGTAGAAGAAGCGCTGACACAAGTGCATAATATCTAATCGGGACTATTTTGAAGGCGACAACTTTAATGTAGACTAATAAATAAATATTTTTTTCAGAAAATGAAAATTTCCCTTATTTTCTGAACACACCTCGTATAGGTATCTTAATTAAATTAATTAATCTGGATAGAATTAAGTTAATTTTGTCCAGATACTTGACTAAAAAATTATTTTACAATTATCGATTATGTTACATATTATTTGCAAGCTTAGTTTTTTTTATTTTAATAAAAACTTTTTATTTATGTTACAATTCGATAATTATGTAACAAGTGGCAGCACTGCCTAGACCACAGCTACAATTTTTTTATTTCAAGGTTAGCAACACTGTTTGGAATTACAGCTGTGCTACGTTTGACAATTCTCATTTCTGTAATTAAAAATTGACATATTTTTAGTTTCATATACGATTCTATAGGATTTGTCAGCATTTTAGGTAAGTTATATTATAAGATGTTTATAATTTTATATTTAATTCTACTATTTGTACTTTTACTAGTAGTGTATGTTAAGAATTTAAAAAGTAAGATTTATGTTAACCTTAAATTAACGGCAAAGAACCCGAAGTATGCCTGATTTTGTATAAAAATAATTTGTGTATTATCTAAATACTGCTTATTCAAACAATTTCATATCAGCTTATTCATAAAAATACATTTATACATTGTAATACAAATATTATAAAATATTGTAGGTAATAAGACCATTTTAGGACCATATTACAATGAATTTTAAGGATATACCAGAATGCACAGAAAAATGTAAATCTTTAACACATGGGGACATAATTACTGCAGCAATATCAAAACGAAGTATATCAGATGCTGAAATATGCTCATATTTAAACCATATTTGTAAAAACTGTGAAGGTGTACAAGATTCTGCAGGTATTTATTATTTAAATGATTTAATATTTGTGTTTTAATAATATTATTTTTATAGGTAGGACAGCTCTACATGTAGCTTCTTCATGTGGTAGATTAGAAGTGGTGCGGTGGTTAGTGCAAAGTCGGCATGCAGACTTAAATGCAAGAGATAAGGAATCTGGTTATACAGCTCTGCAGAGAAGCATGTTTTATGGAAAAATACATGTGGCTGTGGAATTAATAAAGCTGGGTATGTAATTATTCATTATACCTGCAAAAAGATTCAATAATAAGTATACTATTCTAGGTGCCAATATCTCCCAACTGGACCATGATAGTCTGCTTTTTTTGGACCATGCAATGAAAGATGGTATGAAACCCAGCCTAACCGATACAGATGGTGAATTGTATGCTTGGGGATCGAATACCAACCATGTTTTGGGTCCACAACAATCTCGAACGTTGCCTGAACTTTTCGATGGTTTTTACAAAGAACACCCAAATGAATGTGTCCAACAAATTTGTGTTGATAAGTTTCACAGTGTTATAGTTGCCAGTAGTGGGAAGGTTTTTAGGTTTTTTTTCTTTACTTCTACAAAATTATTTTTATTTACTACAATTTTTTAGCTGTGGTCACGGACAAGGCGGTAGATTGGGTATAGGTACCCAACAAACAATTGTTACTCCAAAATTGATCAGTTTTCCAGAAAATAATCAAGAACCTTTGCTGTGCATTAATGCCAGCATTTCTAGGGACCACAGTATTTTTTTGATGTCAGATGGCAGTGTAAGTATGGCATTTTTTAAAAGTGGTAAAATGTCTAAATTTAAGAACCTATCTACTTTTTATTTTATATACACTTACAATTTGATATAACAATTTTGTGGTAACATTATGTTTAAAATGCAATACTTCCCAAACTGTTTTGAATATATTCTATAGAAACTTTAAATGTGGTAAAACATTCTTAAGATTTCTTTTCTACTTTTTATTGTACTTTTATGAGAACATACAATAACAAATATTAATAAAAACATAGTATGGCAATTTTACTTTTTAATGACATCAAAAAATTACCGAAACTAAAAATTGCCTATAGGCAATACAATTCATTAATATTAGAACCAATAAAATGCCAGTATTCCATAGTGACGTATTTTATCACAGCGGCAATAATTTTTATCATCTTGTTTACACGTTACTAAGAATTTTGACACTTTGATTTAACATCTGTTGTCATTTAAATTCTGTATTTGATATATATCAATAAAATAATGAATTATAAACTGTAAAAGATCGATGGGTTGGTGTAAACGATAATGAAATTAAGGTAAGTTTGAATAAATAAGGTTTATTAAAGTCTTTTTATATTTTAAAGCACATTTTAATTTTAAATGTCAATCTGACAAATTTTTTAATTCCTAAAATTCATTATATTTTCTCCCTAAATATAACTCGTGGTATGATTAATAATCGAAGATATTTACTTATTGAAACCGAAGCAGCACATTTCACTCGTCCTGCGGACTCGTGAAATCTGCAGCTCGGTTTCAATTCGAAAATATCATCGATGATAATCATACCACTTGTTATATTATGGGTGAAAATATAAACGTTCATAATATTATCAATTTATTTTTTGGTGTATCAGATAAGAGGCCGTTTATAAATTACGTCACGCTGTTAGGGGGGAGGGGGGTTACATCCACAGATTATAAAGGTTACATCAACGGTTACGTAACGTTGGTTCGGTTTTTAAGAAAATTTTCTGGATTTGACATTTATTGAAATTTAAATCCTGTGTTTGTTATATGATTAAAATAATGAATTATAAACTCTAAAAGATCGATGGGTTGGTGAAAACAATAATGAAATTGAGGCAAGTTTGAATAAATTAGGTTAATAAAGTCTTTATATTTTAAAGAACATTTTAATTTCAAATGTCAAACTAACAATTCGTTAAATCCTAAAATTCATTATATTTTCTCACTAAATATATCTTGTGGTATGATTAGTAATCGATGATATTTACTCATTGAAACCGAAGCAGCACATTTCACTCGTTATGCGGACTTTCTCGGAAATCTGCAGCTCGGTTTCAATTCAAAAATATCATCGATGATAATCATACCACTAATAATATTATGGGTGATAATATTACTTTTATTCGTGTATACGGTAACTACTCATCAAGTGACGTCATGCGCCTCACAAACCAAATCTCGTACACGGGAGCATACAGCCCTGTTGTAACGTTAACCAATCTCTATTCCCTGTTAAAATGTCAAAATCAGCTGAACTTTTTTTTCTATGTGTAATGTTTTGTGTTTGTTGTAAAGATGTCAGTTTTTATCTCTGGTTTTTATTGCCGCCCCCACTGCCCCTTTGTAATAAAAATAATGGTGGACTTAAAATTGATGAATGAATGAATTAATTTTAAAAAGAATTTATTTTTGTTATTTATTTATTAAATTTTATTTTTCTGTAAGTATACATCCTGTTCTAAATGGGGGGGTTGCAATTTGTGACGTAATTTATTTAGGGGGGTGTCATTAAACGTGACAACATGTGACAATGGGGGTGGGGGGGTCAAAAAAGGTCAAAATTTGCGTGACGTAATTTATAAACGGCCCCTAAGTTTCCATATATATTTAAATCATTCTGGTGTGATCTATATTTTTATTGTATGAATTTTTTTTCTATTCAAAAAAGGTGTTTATATCTAAATAATACCATTTCATTTATTAATTTAAAATTAAGTTATAGTAGAATATTTATTTTGGAATAAAAATTAGACAAGATTTAAATCTGTAAGCGCAAGGCGAATTTTCTCGATGAATTAAAATGTTGGTTACCACTTGGAAACAAAATTTTAATTTGGCGCTAGTGCATAGTGCGGTTGTGTTATGTACTACTGTATTTTATTTTAACTTATTTTCGAGTTTATGTACCTTCGACGTTATGTGATTTCGTGGCAGTAGTACGTAACACAACCGCTTTATGCACTAGCGCCAAATTAAAATTCTGTCAACCAAAATTTTAATTCAGCGAATATTTCAGTCAGAAAATTTGAGGTAGGTACATAATATTTATTCCAAAAAATAAAAATAAGGAATTATTATTTTGTCACATACAAGTAGCATTGAATTTATTATCTAAAAAAATAATCGGATTAAAAGAAATATGGCAGAAAGGTGCTTAAATGAAAATTCGTATTGCTAGATTTAAATACCATAATAAATAACAACTATACCACAACTTTATTCCCTTATAAAAATTATTTAAAGTGTTTTAAACAACAAAATAATTCGTAAATATTAAAAATATTTATTATTAAACATTATTAAAACAAATATTTCGTGCAAAATATTTGTGTGTCGAATATGAAACTTTATCACTTTAATTTCTAACAGGTAAATTGATTTTTATGTCGACGAGTAATAATAGAAAATAATTGCGACATAATGATAATTTAAGTATTACTTTTTCTTAAATAAATGTTGCGCACCGTGAATTAACTGGCTAAGAAATTCGATGAATTAAAATTTTGGTTTACATAATTTCAATTTGACTGCGTGTTTCTCAAGTAGCGCCTTATTAAAATTATCTTAACCAGAATTTTAATTCATCGATTTTTTTAGTCAGAAAATACGCCATTCTGTTCCAGAATTAAAATTTTTTTAATTCTTATTCTGTGCTTAAAATTGTGTACTTTATATACCAGACATCATAAAAATTGTACTTTAAAATGTTCAGTCAATGTTTAAAAAAGCAACTTGAATTAATATTTGGCTTTAATAAACATGACATTAAAAAGTAAAACGGCGTGCCATAATATAGCCTATAATTTATTTTAGATTTTCACATGCGGTTTAAATACGCACCACGTTCTTGGAATATTTCCCCCACCCCAGGAACTTTTGGTACCCCGCCAAATAAAACATCTAGATGGTATACAGGGTGTTTGTGCGCAACGATACCACTCTGTAGCGTGGAGTCAAAACAATCTGTACACGTGGGGTCTGAATGCTGGTCAGTTAGGTCACAAGTTAAACAACGAAAACGGCGAGAAATACGTAATTTCGCCAAGGATTGTTAAGATTATTAATATGAACGAAAATACTATAAAATCAGTGGCGGGGAGTGATGGTGCCACTGCTGTATGCACCGAAAAAGGCGACATCTATGTTTTGCACGAGTATCAGTGCAGAAAAATAGCTTCAAGGTACCAAAAATACTACATGGTGACAATATGTCTAATTCGCTAATCCCTAAACTATTTGGGTTAAAGACTTCAAATTTCATTTAAATTTTAACAAAACCACACTCAACATTCTAAAATTTAAATATTTTATCTTTTATTTTTATTATTTTATAAACATTTAAGATGTAATATCACTAAGACATTTTGTCTAATTTGCTATAAATCCTAAACTATATGGGGTAAACACTTGTCAAAATTTGACAAAAACAAAACTGTACTTAATAACACTCTGAAATTTTAAGATTCTATAATTCTTAATCTATAGGTACTTTATACAAACTTATTTTCGTGACAAATAAATTAAACACATTTTTAAGGCAACTGAATGTGATACAGGTAAGCATAGTAGGCGGAAAACTTGACTCATCCTTAGACAAAGATTTAAAAACGAATGTAAAAAGTGAGCTAAAGGTGTTAGCACTTACCAATACAGGAAACCTTCTTCTATGGCAAGAATCTGATCCTTATCTGTGCAGATGCATTTTCACTTCAAATAGGGCCATAATCATCCGCCAGATGTCGATAAACACCAATGGAGTTTTATTGGTGACTTTTGATGGTGAAGGGTTTCAAGGTGGGTTGAAATTTTTTTTAATAACTGGAAAATGGGGTTGGGTATTGTTATAATATTTTAAGATATTTGGTGTAAATTGTATAGTAAAATCTTAACTAGTTTTGATGATATACCTAGTAAATTAAATTTTGTTGGTCAAAAAACAGTTTGACATTTTGTCTAATTGGCTATAAGTAAAACTGTAAAATTATAAAATTTCAATATTTTGTATCTATTTAATACTTTTTATTTTATGTACACTTTGATATCACTATTTTCTTTATTTAGGTATTATTAAACCAAGGAAAAAAATAGGCCCAATTGGCGTACAAGAAAAAAAAAGCACGAAAAGTCCATTTCACAAATTTTTAGATAAGGAAGATTGTATTTTGGTAAAGCTAGAAAAATTCCCGAAAATTCATAGGGCCATTTCTATTAGTAGTGACTCCAGAGGGAATGACTTTTGTGTTATACAAGTACATATAAAACAAATTTATTGTTTGAATAGTTTTTTGTTATAATTGACTTATTTTAGGCATATCCCTACACAAACTATACATTTCCTGAAATAACCCCATCAGATATGCAATTAAATTTAAAATTATTATTGGAAGAAACTGACGAATACGATATTTTGCATGATGTTACTTTTAAAGTTGAAAAACGAAAATTCCCAGTCCACAGGTATATAGTCGCTTCAAAGTGTCCTTATTTGGAAAAAATTATAGAAAATAATAACAGTAATGAGCCTGTGGTACTGCCCAATATTAATGCAGATATATTTGAACAATGTTTAATGTTTTTGTATACAAATACTTGCGATTTGTTGAGAATAGGAGAACTTAAAAATGAGAGACTTAAAAATTTATGTGATAAAAAAATTGACAACAAAAATGACACAGAAATAGAAAAACAAGTTGAGGTGGAAAAAGATGTTTCTGCTTTTGAATACTACAATAAAATAAACCCACAACAACATAAAGAAAAATCACCAGAAATAAAAGCAAAAAACCCTGTAAGAATGCTCCATGAACTTTCAAAAAAATTTAAATGTGTGGATCTCCAAAACGCTCTCTCAAATTTGGATATGACCAAGTACACAGTAAAAGTTAAGTCTGGGAAACTGTTTAAGGCAAAACCCATTAAGTTTGACATGAGAAGTTTTCCTGAACATTGGGATGTTGTTATTAAATGTAGGGATGATAAAATTATCAAAGCTCATAGGTGTATTATGGCAGCTAGGTTGGAGTATTTTGCTAATATGTTCTCCATGAGATGGGGAAAGGTAAGTTTATTTTATTCTTATTTTTACTTCAGTAGATTTAGTCTAAATAAAAAAAAGATATTTTTAAGGTCAACTATTTTTTAAAGTCAAATTTTACAAAAAATAAAAACAAATTGCAGGCCAACATTCTTAAATTGTTTTATAAAACAGAATAATAAAACTAAAAAATAAAAAAAAATCGAGTAATATTACCAAAAAAATATATAGAGGTCAAATAGTTTTATAATTTTATATTTTAGAATATTTATTTAACCTTTTTTATTTCTCAAAAAAGTCATAAATATTTGTTTTTTAGGTTTTTATCTATTTTATATATTTTTTGATACATTTATAACAATTATTTTCTTTTAATTTAAGATTTTTAACCGTATTTACAATGATTTTTAGAGTATTTCAAATATTGAGAATTGCTCCATCTCTTAAGGTTTTTGAGAAATGCTAATCCAAAAGTAGAAAAAACGCGTGAAAATAATTTTAAACCCTCCAATAACAAAATTATTTACATATTTTAGTCAGAAAACTGTGAAATAACCCTACCATTCCCAAAATCAACAGCCCTAGCTCTTTTAGAATACATATACACAGACAACCTATCAGGCTTGGAAAATAAGGAAATGGAGCACCTCTTTAGAGTTCTAATACTAGCAGACCAATTATTCGTAATACGACTAAAAGAACAATGCGAATGGCTGCTTACAAATCTATTAACACTTAAAAATGCAACACAAATTTTGCCTTTTGCGCATATGTACAATGCGCAGAATTTAAAGTTGTGCTGTATAAAGTTCATTGTGGGGAATTTGGCACCGTTTTTGGAGAGCCATGCTTTGGAAGAGTTGGATGAGGAGATTTTATTGGATATTGCGGAAGTTTACTTTAATGTAAAGCATGAGATTTCCTGTAGGGTTATAACACCCTACTCCACTGCAGTGGCAGATGAGGAAATTAGTTTAGTGCACACTCAAAACCCGGTAGACTTGGAATTAGAAGTAGAGAAAAGCGGAAAAAAGTCATCGCAAAAACGTAGATCCAGAACGCACAAAAGTTCTTTCTCTGAGAAGCGCACAAGCGAGTCGGATAATAACCTGGATAGCATTATCCAATTCCCGGATATACCGGAGGTTATCCAGGAATCCAAACAAACCATAGAACTATCCGATAGAGTTAAAGCTATAATGAGAGCGCAGAACAAATTATATGATGAGGATATCAAATGTAATTTCGAGAAAATCGGCAAAAATGACTCTGGGACATCGTTTGATGATTTTCCGGAACTAAGTAGCCCACCCTGTAACACTGCCATGGGTTCACTTACTAAAACACCTAAGAATAAAGTTAAAATGACCAAGGTCTCACAAAAACAGAGAAAAAGATTGTCATCTCAGAGTGATTTAAACAATCCTGGATCACCAGTAATATCAGGTATAGTCGTCGCGGCGAATGTTTCAAATTGCAGTCATCAATGTCGAATGTCAAAAACCGATTTATCGACATACGGTTAACCTAGCGGTTCCTTGTATTATATACGTAAAAAAACAACAATAACACTGTAGGTAAATTTTCAACTATTGAAATATCACAGTTAAACGCTCGGACACGTAAACATTATTTTTGGTCGTAGATTCCAAATCCGTGCTCGGTTTAGCTGTATCAGGTCTAAAAAAGTTTTTCCTATCGGAAATCCGATCCGGGGACACACAACACAACATTTTGAATTTCCTAAATTATCTATAAAAAACCCTCAGGGACATGTGTTCCTTTTGATCGATTAACTTAAATTTTGCAAGAATTTGTTTATTTTTAAATTTGGAACTGATGTGTGGGTCCAGCCAAATTGATTTTTTTTAAATTTATACAGGGTATTTAAATTATACAGGGTCTTTCCATTATCTTTGAATTTTGACCTAAACCAAGCAGGGATTTGTAATCTACGACCAAAAATTAAGTTTACGTGTCCGAGCGTTTAGCTGTGATATTTTCACCTCCCTACAGTGTAATTAATAATCTGTGCTTGGTTCAGAATTTGAAACATTCGCCGCGACAACTATAAATCAGTGGCGGCTCGTGCCTTCCGCGCTGGGGTAGGCGACACCCACTAGTGCCAGTAGAGTGGCTACAGCCACATATTATATGTGACATATATGTATATAAATAAAGTAATACATAAAGTAATGATTAATACTAATACTAATACTACCTAATTCTAATACAAACTAATAGGTACTACCTAATTCTAATACTAACAAATAATAATAAATAATGATACAGTAATACTTAGCGGGTAATTAATTTCCTGACACAGTCACAAAAATAAAGTGAATTTGGCTTAAAACAATAATTATTATTGTTTAACTCAAAAACATCTAATTGACGGAACTAAAATGTAAAAGAAATCTGCTTAAAAACCCTTTATCGTTCGAATTTATCTCAACAGATGTCACTATTTTAAATTAATTATTTATTATATTAATATATTCTTGCAAATAATGTTATTTACAGGACTTTTAATATTAAATTCATATTATATTCTGAACATCTTGCATTGAGATCGATCATTTTATCGATTACCGGCTTAAAAAAATAACTTACAAGTCGGAAGCCGAATCGGCTTTCGGATTAGCCGAAGGCGAACAATCGTGTCGCCTACACATCGCAATTTTACCATACGTCAACGGCGTTTCTATTGGTCAGCGGTATAGCCAGGGTGGAAGAAGGAGGTGATTCAACTCCGTCGTTGAAGGCGGCCAGATAAGTCAGTATTTGTTAAAAGTCTGTATAGATGGCGCATTGAAGTGGAACCTGTTTTAATCCCGGTGCACAACAAACTTTTCCCATTTTTAGTAAAATTGCATTGATTAACTTCAAAGAATAGACCACTAAGCTTAATTAAAATTCAAATAAAACCATTTCAACGTCACTTTTGTGCGTTTGTGGCGAGTGTGCATTTTGGCAGAACAGTTGGCAATACTACAGTATTGCCAATCGTTCTGCAAATTATTATAATAATGCTTTAAGAAAATATGTAATTGTCGTTAAGGAGGGTAGAAGACTCTCCTTGGGTTTTCGTTATCTTATAATTTGTTGTTAAAAGTTAAGTTGTTATAGAATATATGGATTTCGTTGGTAAAACCTTGGGTTCTTATTTGACTCGCCATCTAACGAATAACGAACGAAATACTGACTTATCTGGACGCTTGCTTCTGTACTGTAGAGATAGGAGCTATATCACCTTCTTCTTCCACCCTGGGTATAGCGTTCTTCACTTGGTTGACGTGCAGGAATCAAATAAATAGGCGCTTGTGATAGTCGCCTTTGCTTGGCAATGCTTGCTTTAGATGCTGATTTAGAGCTTAGAAAAAGGTGTGAACTCGCTACTTTCGTCATGACGCATCACGTAATAATTCAATAATAGTACATTCTGTAACAAGTTTGGAATACAGCATATTCCGCTCGAGGAAAAATTTGACACACGAGCCGAAGGCGAGTGTGACGGTTTTACGAGAGTGGAATATGCTATTCCAAACGTGTTTCAGACATTATTTTCTCTACGACTACGTAAGAATAGTAATTTTAAACAGAGAAAAGAAACCAAGCAGTTTTTGACATTTAAGTTTTTTGTATTGTCAAACCATTTTGTGCCGTCACAATTTTATAATGTAAATTATATTAAATTTAAACAAATGGTATGCCTAAATCTTTATTATAATTAAAAATAGTTATTTACACTTACTAATAAAAAAATAACATTCTTTTTCTACATTTTAAAGGTCTTTTTTTAAACTTTTTGAATCTGTCAAAACTTCAAAGCCGGTATAGTAGGTAACTGATTTATCATTTTAATATCAAACTTTAAAGCCGGTATAGTAGGTAACTGATTTATCATTTTAATATCAAATTTATTATAATTTTGATTTGATTATTTGAAAAACAATAAATGTAACTAATTTTTTGTGCCTAAACCTTAATTATATAACTGCTATTATTTTTAAATAATAAATAATACAGTAATATTTAAATATTTTTAAATTTTTTACGTTTAGTAAACAGCCAGGAGATGTCGTTACTTGTGACCATTCTTATACAAGAGTAGGAATATTCTCGCACAGTATTGCAGAAAAACATCCTTTCTATGATCAAAAATTACACTAGAATGTTACTATTCTTAAGTAGTCGTAGAGAAAAGGTTTTATTTGCGATAAATAAGATTTATGAATGCAATAAAAATAATTTAATTAAATTTGGTAATTTAATTAGGTACTTATATTTATTATTTTACATCCATATTTCCAGGGTAGGCGGCGCCTACCTTGCCTACCCCGACGAACCGCCACTGCTATAAATACTATTTTACATAACCCATGTTTTTCATCATGTTGACTACTTTGCAAACGAAGCTTTATGTTTAATTTTATGTTTTTTTTAGAGAGTCCTAAAAATCCTTGGAAAACAATAACAAATGTTACGAGTCCGCAGTCCACTCCAGATGGTAAAAATTTAACATGTAAATGGGGTATGGGTGATATTATATCTGATGAGAAAAAACAGAAAGAGAATCTAGTCAAGTTGAAAAGTAAACTTTTGTTTTATACACAAGTAAGTGATTTTTTATTTATTTGGCCCTAGGCCCGTTTTATACATTTTATTTATTTTTCATCCCAGAACTTCTTTAATTAATATCCATATACAGGGTGGGTACATCAAGAGGAAAGTCAAAAATTTTTAGGGTGTAGTCTACGCTCCAACTACACAATTATGCGATTTTTAAATGTTTAAAGACACGCCAGGTTGAACAAAATTTTACCACTTCTTTTTAATTTTTAATTAAATTTTTTATCAAACTTTTTTAATACAATTTAAAACTCCGTAAAAAATTTTAGGGGGTATTTTACTGTTTTACAATTTTTTATTGTTTTGGAAAGGTTTTGAAAATTCATCTGTCACCTGCAGGTTATCTGTCATCTGTCAACTTGACGCCTGTCAAAGAAAACAATTATTAGAATATTGTGTAAATTATTGTATGGGATTTTTTTCAAGACCGATGAAAATACACCTCTTTCCTCTTAAAGCCTGATTTATAGATTGCCTTCCTTTCTTCCTTCCTCCCGTAGAAGATGAACAATACAATCCCGTACGGGATCTATAAACGGCACTACGGTTTTCGCATTGTTCATCTTTTTCGGGAGGGAGGGAGGGAGGTAGGAAGGAAGACAATCTATAAATCAGGCTTTAAGAGGAAAGAGGTGTATTTTCATCGGTCTTGAAAAAAATCCCATACAATAATTTACACAATATTCTAATAATTGTTTTCTCACACTGTACCTGTAATATTTTACAAAAATTTTGGCTCTTAATCAGTGGCGGCTGGTGACATATTAAATTGGGGGGGGAGAAATTTATATACATGCAAACATTGGATAATAAACTTACCGATGTATGTAAGATGTGAGACCCATTAACCCATATTTAAATTAACATAAGCAATTATATATAATCTACAGTATTTATCTCCATTTTAAAAATAACAGAAAACAATACCACAGGACGACCGGCGAGATTTTTGACTAACTGACCTTCCTCAAAACGCGCATCGGCAACGCGCTGAGGGGCATCTTATCGCACGATTATGATGGCTGACTCCTACTGAAACATATATTCCGCTCGCACACCCCCGCCGTCATCGATACGTCAGACAAACAGTGCAGATTTGAATCCGCCCGGCTTGTAACTATCCATCCTAAAAAAGTTTACCCGTATTAACCGTCCTAAAGTTAATATTAAGAATTAAATTTAAAAAGTTTACAAATAAATTAATTAAATATAATGTTTTTGAGTAGCATAGGAGGGACTCGGGAGGGCACTGACCCGTTGCCCTCCCTGTAACAGCCGCCACTGCTCTTAATTATAATTAATTTGAATTCCAATAAGATTTCTAAAAAATTTTGGGTTCATTCTTTAAACGTTTCTTTTTTTAGGTTGAAGACAAAGCCATTGACGATCTTCACAAATTTTATAACACGGAAAACTTATCTGAAGAAATAATTTTAATAGAAAGAGTCTCAATGGGTAGCATAGCCTCCCCCACTTGGGTGCCAAGAAATAAATAACAAAATAGTTTTATTTTTAGTAACTGTAATCAAGTATTTATTGTGTAAATACGTTTCAAGTGTAAATTACCACAACATTGTGATAACTATTTTAACATTAAATTACATAAAAATTTATTCATTTTTATTACTCATCCAGTCACCCTCGTATAACCGAAATAACAGCGCACGCGCAAAATTTAAAATTTCCCGTTGAAGATGCCAACATAACCTCAAAAATTTTGTTTACAATTCCAGCTATATAGCTACAGGAAAGATTATCTTTCATTCATTTATGTGTAGTGTTAAAACTTAAGAAGTGCGAATTTGACGACATTGTTTAGAAAAACTTTCGATAGTTAGTTTTGAATTATTAAGAAGGTTAAGTGTTTTTTGTACGTTTTTTAATGTGATATGTGAAAATGAGTATCTATCGCGGTAGGAACAGAAAAGAATTTTCTTTGGCATCTTTACTGTACGATTCTATCGAAGATAGAGATTTACAGTAAGTACATTTTATATTTGTAACAAATTAAGGTTGTGACAATATTTATATTTTTGTCAAGCTGTAGGTAGATCAGGTATACCTGGGCTAAGCCCAGTAGGGTTTAAAAACGTTAATATAGCCCAGGTAACTTAACAAAATATAAGTAATATTGATAAAAATTTGTAGTGTGTACCTATATATTTTCTTTTATTTATTTATTTTTTAAACCTAAACTTTTAAAGTGATGCAAGTTGACAATAACATTATTTCAGATTTTTTATAGGTAATCTTAATAGGAAGTTTCATGACATTGTAAACTTATTAATCAAATGAACATATAAAAACTTGAACAGAATCATTTAAATAATACAATTTTTATAAAGTAGGTATTTGTTTATTTCTTATTTCCTAGGTCAGTGTCTCAGTATGATTTAATTTTAAAGAATAATTTCTTTGTATTTTATTTAAAAATATTTGTTTTGCCAATTTTAAAAAATACCTACTTGACATTTTAAGTTTTACAATGAATTACTTATCTTTTGTAATATCTGTGACAATAAATAAATAAAAAATTAATTGCATTAGTTTAAGCTTAAATTTAAATATCTATAATTATAATAGTATAATAATAATAATATAATAATAGAAATAGAAAAAAACGATTAATTAAAAAAATAATGATTAAAAAATGGTAATATAAAACTTGGAATATGGGAATTAAATCAATTAAAAAAAACAAAATAGAATAGTAAACATTAAAAAAAATAAAACAAAAAAATTGTAAACCATAGAAAATTATTATAATAATGTGGATTTTCTATTTAAACCTTAGAAGAAAAAACAGTTGTTTTTTCTTCTATATTCTTATATACTTAGGTACTTTTTAATTTCTTTTATTTTTCTTGATTTTTAATACATATGTATATTAATTTAATTTACTTAATGATTTAATTTGGGTTCTTATAAAAAACCTAAAAAATATACCTATGTACTTATACTGGGTGTGCCAGAAGTCGCGCACCAACTTGAAGCTGTATGATCTAAGGACCCCCAGAACCCCGCAAAATTGTTTAAAAAATGTACCTTCATTATTTAAAAAGATATGAGAGCATAAAAATTGAGTTTTAATAATAATAAAATAATAGGTTTGCCTTAACTATATTCTTTAAATTCGTATTATATAGATTAGGTCTAATGTACAGAATCATCTTTTAAAAAATGTATTATAGGATTTTTATGCGTTTGGCAACATGTGCAACAATTGATTATCACAACAATCAATTGTTGTTATCTGTTGATAAGGATGTAAAAACACGTTTTTTTCAGATGTGAAAAAAACATGAAAAAAAAGGTTTTTTTTTTCAAATCTCTACAATAAAGCATATTCTGTCAATAAATAACATCAATCTTAAAAAATGGAGTAATTTTTTAAAATGAAATTTTGAGTAAAATATTTATTAATAATAAAGTGAAATGTAAAATATATTACATTTTTTATTATTGAAAATTTTGACCTAGACTAAAAAAATCTGATTTCTTATTATTTGGCAGTTTCCACATAAGAAACCAATAGCACTAATGGGTCATTCCACGTTACTCGGGGATTTTTGTCCCGCCCGTCACAATTAAAAATTGTGAGTAAAAACTACACATTATAAAATTTATTTTAAAATATTGTTTATTATGCTTTTAATAAGTTAAAAGCACAATAAAAATAATATTATAAAATATTAATTTAATAACTTGTGGTTTTTACTCACAACTTTTAATTGTGACGGGCGGGACAAAAATTACCGAGTAACGTGGAATGCCCCTAATAGAAAAAATTAAAGGTTAAAAAAATTCCAAATTTTTTGCGATTTTTCGCATTGAGCCAAAAAAATCAAAAAAAAATTCTTTAAAAGTATATCGAAAATATGGTTTGGGGTGATAAAAAAATTATTGTGAAAGTTTGAGTCCATAATATTAATATTAAGATGTCTATCGTCGCAATTTTAATTTTTTTTCCTCAGCAAGTTTTTGTCTTAGAACTCCCAAACCATTGAATTTAACAAAATTTACTCGAAAATTAAATGCTCTACAAAAAAGGTTTACAAAAAAAGCCTCTTAATATTTTTAGCTAAATTCACTCAATCAAAAGTTATTCAAGGTTAAAGTTGAAGTCAAAACGATATTCTTGTTTTTTCCTCTGCAGATTTATTTTTTTATGGATGATAATTTGATTTTTTTTATAAATGTGTAGGTATTATATAACTAATTAACAATTTCCAATAAAAAAACAACATGATTGTTTTAATAACATAAAGATTTTCATCGATAAAAGAATTCAAGTTTTTAACTGACCCAAAAAAAATCTAAAGCGAAAAAAACAAGAATTTCGTTTTCACTTCAAATTTAAACTTGAATAACTTTTGATGGAGTGAATTTAGCCAAAAATGTTAGGAGACTTTTTTTGTAGAGCATTTGATTTCCGTGTACCTACTGATTTTTACATGAATTACAAAATTCCAAAGTTAAAAGACCAAATTGTAAAACTATACCAATTTTTAAGGCATGATTGTAAGAAAACGTTTAATCTGACGGGAAATTCTATAAAACCGAAGAAAATGTCCCTACTAAAACTTTGAATTGATTAATATAGAATTTAGCTTTTTTACGAAACTAATACATATGTACCTAATAAAAGAAAAATTGTGTACAAAATGATAAAAAATCACACCAAAAAAGAATTTAAAATAGGTACCTACACATTTATTGGTTTTATTTTACAAAAATCTTTTAATTATTTAATAAATAATTCGAAAGATTTGAAATGATTCCAAAATTGAAAATCACTAAAACATATTATATTTTGTAAAAAAAATGTGTTGTACTTATTCGAATATTTCATAGAACTACATTTTTTATACCTTTTTATAAAAAATATAGTTTTAAAACAGGTATACCTACTTTTCTATAATTTTACTGCATAGTTTGTTTCGTATACAGGGTGTCTCAAATGTCAAGACAGCAGAAAAGGGGTGGATAGAGGAAGGGATTCCAAGTCGAATAGTCTTTGCCGTTTATTGATCAGACGCACCATTAATAAGTTATTAATAATATAAAGTATCCAATCACAGGCGTGCTCTAGCAGAATGATTAGAGGTGGGGCAACACAAACTTTTGTAGAAATTCCATGGCTATGAATGTATCATATTGTGAAATGACCTTAATTTTGGTTTTTTAGGTTCAGGAGAAATGTTCATTTTTTATGTTGGACAAATAGACCTACCTTTTCTTTTTGTTATTTTTTTTTAAATAAGGTTGATGGTGATATACTTTACTTTACTTTTTTTAAATAATACTAATAATACAGATATTTGAATGAATATCTAATAATCACAATCCATACAACAAACCCTGTTTTATCTTGTTTCGTGCATACTAAAAATCACTGCAACACTGCACAGAATCTAACGGCGGCCATTTTTATGTTACAGATTAAAAATCGTTTTAAACGTTGTGTTTCTTACAGAGGCACTTGTAAGCCTCAAATGAGCCCTTTAAGTGCTAAGAACAACCATTTTAAACCTTATTCTATTAGGGCTGTCATCAAACTATTAAATTTAAATTTGTGGGTTATGATAAATTAACCTTAAAATTTGACAGTTTAATGACAGCCCTAATAGAATAGGGTTTATTTTTGGGACATTCCACGTTACTCGGTAATTAAAATTGTGAGTAAAAGCCACAAGTTATTAAATTATTATTTTATAATATTATTTTTATTGAGCTTATTCCACGTTACTCGGTAATTAAAATTGTGAGTAAAAGCCACAAGTTATTAAATTATTATTTTATAATATTATTTTTATTGAGCTTATAAGCTTATTACAAACATAATAAACAATATTTTAAAATATATTTAATAAAGTGTAGGTACTTTTTACTCACAATTTTTTATTTTGACGGGCGGCACAAAAATTACCCTTTTACGGTAAAATGGTTGGTTGTTCTTAGCACTTTTAGGCTAACAAGCGCCTCTGTGAGAAACACAACGTTTAAAACGATTATTAATCTGTATTTTCCCTAAAAAAAGAATGTCCCAAGTTATTTTACACTACGATTTTATATAAAATTTCTAATATTAAGCTGCACATTACAGTTCTTCCACCTCTAATCATTTTGCTAAAACACGCCTGTGGTTGGCTACTTCATTTTATTAATTATTAAACCTCATTGCCGTGCATTATATCGTATAATATAATAAATATTATATTATTATAAAATATTATATATAACAAAAAAAATCGAATCGAGCAAGTGGATTTAATAAATTTAGGTTTTTTATTAATTTTTTGAAATTTCAATGCATTTGTTATTAATTTCACAGATTTTTTATGTTTTTATTGTTCTACGCGTAGGTAGTTCTACGCGAGTAATTCCTAAAAAATCGTCAAAAATTGTAGAAAACCCAAATAACATTTTTTAATGATTTTTTCCTAAATTTTTTGGAACATAATAAAGAAAAAAATGTGTAATAAGAATGTTAAAAACTTATTTAAGATATTATAAAACCAATATTTATGTCAATAAAATATCCTAAAAATAAATAATTCGAATCAACATTTTTAATGATTCATAAATTCGTCCTGTTACGTAATCAAATTTCTGAGAAAATCCCTAAAAAACATGTTGATGTGATATTCTAGGCGCCAATATAAAATAATAAATAATTAACCAATAATAATAACTGTTGATGCGATTACAAAATTAGTTTTAAAAATTCTATTTTTAAGATTGGCTTATCGTGTTTTAAATTTATTTTTAACGCTTTTATTGCCACATAAAATAAGTTTAATTGATGTTTTTATTAATATGTTAATTATTCAATTGTACTATATTATTTTAATTAGCACAGATATGTGGAGTCAATCTGTCAAATTTTTCGGAAAAAATGGGCAGTCGGGATCCTTCCCTCTAGGGTTTTTGGTGAAAACTTAAAAGTTTTTTTTTCTGGATAAGTGTTTTAGAGATAA